TGTGTGTCAAATAAAATAATAGAAAATACATGTATTGGTCTTTGCCCCCAGTTCCTGGCACAGAAGCGCCTAAAGTCCTTGTAATTTCCTAGGTGATAAGAGCACAAAGAGCATCTTTTGTTCTGATATTTGGCCTTTGACCCCAGTTCTTGAGACTGAGCGCCTAACCCCGAGCAATAGAAATGTCTTTTGTGCTAATGAGGCAACTCTTGGTGAACTCCTGGGTGGGGGCTGGTCACCAGAAAGACCAAGGCATGATTAGAAGCTTGGAACGTTCCGCCCCACCCTACCACCCCCTCCAGGGAAGGGAAGGGAAGCTAGAGATTGAGTTCAGAGTCACTCCTGTCTACATGAGGAAGTGCTTCTGGGTTGGCGAACACATCCATGTGTGGGGAGAGCGGTGCACCCCGACTCCCCAGGGACCGAAGCTCCTGCACTCAGGACCATTGCAGTCTGGTCCTTTGTAGCTCTTCATCTCGCTGTTTGCCTGTATCCTTTACCATATCTTTTAACACATAATAAACTAGCAAATGTTAGTGTTTCTCTGAGCTGTTCTAGCAAATGATGGAACCCGAAAGGAAGGGGTGGGTGGAAAAGGGGTAAAAAGGATAAACGTGTCTATTCAACCTTAAAAGGCTATCTGCCAATTTTCAATCTCTCTTTTTTTTTTTTAAAGAGGAGTCTATGGCTGGCCCTTTAGAAGAAAAGGTCTATAGTCTTAAGTGCTCATAGGATTCATCCAGTCTAAGCCCCCACATTTGCGAAGGGAGAAGTAAAGCCCTAAGCGCACACCCTACCCAGACTCAGCAAATAAAAATCTAGAACACCTTGTTAAATCTGAATTTCAGATGAACAACCAAATCTTTTAGTATAAGTTTGTCCCAAATATTACCTGGGATACACATATACTAAAAATTGTTTATCGTGAGTTTTATGTATTTTATATGACAATCCTCCCTCCCCCAACAAAGCTCACTTGGTCAGCTAATGACAGAATGACAGACCCAGAACTAGGTTCCTGGCCTTTTGCCCTCTGGGAGGACAGGAATGACTGAGATTACTCCAGCATCCTTCGCCTGCCTGAGAGGTCTCTGCTCATACATCACCTCTGCTTATAGGTCCTTGCATAGTCATAGGGAAATTAACCAAAGAAAAAAAGGCAAATTCCATTAAAGAGTCATGTACCTTTTTAATTATGACATATCCAGTGTTGTTTTGGGGATCGGTGTCAATCCCCAGTCGCCCCTCATCATCTCCCTGTGTAATTCGATACAGGATTTTAGAACTCCCAGTAAACGGCTCATCAGCATCTGTGGCCTGGATGGTCAAGATGGTGGACCCAACGGCTGTGTCTTCGGCAAGAGTTAGGTTCCCGTACTAAGAAGGAAACATTAAAAATGTGCATTGTCATCAAGAATAAATAGCTGTCAAAGGGCTATTGTCTCTTTAGCTTCAGAATGGACACAAGTCATAATTTGCATCAATATTCACCACGCATGTTTTTCCTATGGCTAAATATGTTGTAGTTGATTTTGACATCAATCATACTCATAGACTGATATTCATTGTACCAAGAAACACAACATCTCAGAGAGCTACTGGTAGGATTCTCAAACAGAGTCCCACTCCCACATCCAATACATTTACTAACCTTACTTATTATATTAGTGAGGACAAAAATAAATACTCTATATTGAGTACTTATCGTGCAGCAGTCTATTTTACATACGTTATTTTAATTAGTCCACAATCAACCAAGGAGTAGTGGTTAAGAGTCTGAACTTCGGAGTCAAATAGTATAAATCCTAGGCTTGCCCCTTACTAGCAGGGTGACTTGAAGCAAGTTATCTAACGTATTTAAGTCTCGGTTTCATCATCTGCCTAATGGAAATAATAATAATAGAACTACTCCATGTTTGCTGTGAAGATGAAGCAATAACGCATGGAAAGTCCCTGGCGCCTGGTACACAGTCAGTACTCAATAAAGATAAGCAGCAACCCCTACTGAGTAGCTATATCATCATCTCCATTCGACAGAAGAGCAAAGGATTGGAGAGGTAAAACTCACCTGAGACCACAGAGAATTGGGATTCATACCCATGTTGTCTAACTTAAAGCTTGCGTTCATAATCACTGCCTAACCATCTCCTGCTCCTCCGCTGAAAATCCCCCAGATCATTTCTGGGGGGATTGCAATCTTAAAGAGGGAACTAGCCAGGGCCCAGGAGAAGCCCAGAGCAGTGACAGCAGCAGACTCATTCTCTAGAGCCCAGTTTGCCCTTCCTAGCCCTGACACTCCCAAAGCTGGATCTCACCTTCAATTTGAAACCATTGTCTAGATCAGTGATGGCAAATCTTTTGAGCTCGGCGTGTCAGCATTAACTCTGGTGCCATGTCACATATAGAAATTCTTTGATATTTGCAACCATAGTAAAACAAAGACTTATATTTTTGATATTTATTTTATATATTTAAATGTCATTTAACAAAGAAAAATGAACCAAAAAAATGAGTTCGCGTGTCACCTCTGACACGCGTGTCATAGGTTCGCCATCACTGGTCTAGATGTAACACCAGGATGGGAACACGGAGGCTGAGAAGCAGGTGGTTCCAGCTCCTGCTTGCTTTGCCTCAGTGCCCGTTACACAGGTTATGTTCACTCACACCTCTTACTGCCCTGAACCCTCCCATAAATCGACTCCCCTTCTTTGCCACAACCTTGTCCCTGTTTTGATGTATGAACATTTTGATATATGAACAGGGTGCTGGGCTATCTCATTACTGACTTCAAACAAACTAGTAAAATGGGCTTCTCTCTGCTCCAGAAGAAGTAGACAGAGACCTCCCCTCTAAGGGAACAGTGATAGAACTACCCTCAAGTGTAAAGCCCACGCCGACGACAAGTAAACATTTTTCTTGATGTCCTCAACTGAATCATATTACTCCTGCTCTTTCTGCCCAAAGTTCCTAATTCTTGCAGATATCTTGAGCGCATTTTTCCTTGGCTTACACCAGAAATTAGTATTTTTCCTTCTCCTTTTCTCTTACCCAAATACTGCAAAATGAGTTTAAGTTGCCAATATTCCAAATACTAAACTTTTTACGAAAAATGCTTGTTTGAAACCTCGCAGGAATCCATTTATCATCCCACTACACACAAAATATATAATGACAAACCGCACGTAGCCATTCGACTCCTTTCAATTTGACAAAGATTGTGGTTGCAGCTTTTAAGCAGCCCTTGGAGTAAATGAGCCATTGGCAGAAGTTTATTAACAGACGTTCCCAGATACTACACCAGTGAATGTCCCCCCAAGAATGTCACTGGAGAAGGTGTCTGGGTTGTTACCAGTGCATTGACTAAGGCTACCTGTGAAGTCTGGCATTTTTCCTGCATACTGTCTGTGTCTTAATTCCAGAAGTAGGGATCAAGTGATATGAACAAAGTAAAGAAAAAAACAACAGGTGACAACTACTCACATCTGACTTTTCAAAGATGGGGATCTGATCGTTGATATCAATAACGTTGATTTTCACTTGACAGAGGGTGTGGAAATCTGAAAAAGTCATATCACAAACATTTTTTTTTTCACTGAAAAATCATGCATTAACATCAGAAACCTGCAAGAAAAGCATTGGCAAGTGAAGTGGCAGCCGTGGCCACAATTTCGCTGTTGACGTGCAATTTGTGTGGAAACGGGATCCTCTGCTCCCCACCTGCACCCACAGGCTGGTCACAGGGAGGCTGAAGAAAGTCCTGCAAGAGGTTCGCCTGGGCTTCCCATGTCCCTCCACCTCCCCCCTCCAGGGTAAGGGCTGTTCTCGAGCCACACTGTTGCTTTTCTGTGAAGCAGCCTCTTTTTCCGAACTACGGACAGTGACGCAGCCCTCAAAGCCCTGTGCAAACCTCTCCTTCCAGAAAACCTTCACTGAGCACCCCAGCCATCTCTATCCCTCTCTGACTATCCCAGCACTTCATGCCCTACCTCTCCTCTGCTCCCATGGTGGGAAGGAAGGGTCAGGTGCCTTCTCCCTGCTCTCCAAGTAAGGGAGGAAGTGGTACAATTAGTCCCCTTCAAATGGCTGACCACCCAGCTTGCTGGAGGCAAGACAGGGACAGAGGCGGCTCATGGAACCCTGGGGAAATGACACAGGCTTTTAGGAAGAGGTTTGACAATTCAAAGTCTTAGTCAGAGACAGCAGCTTCAAGCTGGGTCTAAGATGAGCATGGCGTGTGGGTGGGAATGGGGTGCCCAGGGGAATCCTATATAATAAAAGGCTAATATGCAAATTGACTGAATGGCAGAATGACCGGTTGCTATGATGCGCACTTGCCACCGGGGGCAGACACTCAATGCAGGAGCTGCCCCTTGGTGGTCAGTGCACTTCACAGGGGGAGCACCGCTCAGCCAGAAGCCGGGCTCACAGCTGGTGAGCACAGAGGCAGTGGTGGTAGCATCTTCCGACTCCACGGCAGCACTCCACGACTCCGGGAACAGGCCTAAGCCGTCAGTCGGACATCCCCCAAGGGCTCCTGGACTGCGAGAGGGCACAGGCCGAGCTGAAGAACCCCTCCCTAAGTCCATGAATTTTGTTCACTGGGCCTCTAGTATTGAGAATAAGAAAAAACATGGCAGATTCTTTGTTGGAATCACCGTCATTCTAACAATCATGATGTCCTGTATCATAAAAATATTAAGAACCTGGACTCTGGAATCCCACTGCTCAAATTCTGCCACTTATCAGATGTGTGAGAGCTTGGTTGTGTCACTCAAGGTCTCTGGGCCTCAGTAATTTTTTGTATAAAATCTAGATAACAAAAGAACTGAGGTCTTGACATCATACAAAATCGTTAACACTCTCTATGCACCAGGCACTGTATAAGTGCTTTACTGCATTACTTCTTTTATCTTCATACTCACTTCATGATGTAGGTACTGTTGTCATTCATTTGACTCACAAATGAGGAAGCCAAGGGATAGGGAAGTTAGGTAACCTGACTAAGGTCACACAGCGAACTAGGGGTCCAGCCAGAATTTACAAACCTACGTGCTCCCTGTGTCCGCTACACCTACTCCCCACCCTCCTCCCTGCTCTGTGTCTGGGAGGCCCACCTTACGAACTGCATCAGTGGGCATTCTGGCCCTTTGGGTACCAGTTGGGTTCTGCCAATAAGAACTCTGGCAGGAAGTGGGAGGAAGGGCAGGAGGCGAAAGGTTTGGTGGGGTTCCCAGGGCCAGCGGCCTTGTAGATAGCCATAGGCCCAAGGCTTGCCACTTCCGGGAATGCTCCTTTCCCGCAACCCTTCACACCTTAGGGTAGGAAAGGCTGGCCACTGTGCATCACACTGCCTGCTGGTTTCCTTCACCTCGCCCACAACCTTTCTTTAAACTCTCTTTGGTTACTCCTTTTGAGGGGGCCCCTCTATTTCCTGCTGGGATCCTAACGAATAGACTCAGGCATCTTACTCCAGAGCTCCCGCTCAGTGCCCCGGGCATGTCATCTAACCGTAACTGAAGTCTAAATAAGTGGATGTTGATTAAAGCTGGGGCTGGTCCCCAGGACATTTGTGGACAAAAATGGCTAAAGACTGGGGGTGCCCGGGACCTGCACTCACACACCTCATCAGGGCCAGCAGGGGGCCGCCAAAGTACTAAGCCAGTGGTTCTCAACCTTCTGGCCCTTTAAATATAGTTCTTCATGTTGTGACCCAACCATAAAATTATTTTCGTTGCTACTTCATGACTGTAATGTTGCTACTGTTATGAATCGTCATGTAAATATCTGATCTGCAGGATGGTCTTAGGCGACCCCTGTGAAAGGGTCATTCGACTGCCAAAGGGGTCGCGACCCACAGGTTGAGAACCGCTATTAACTAAGCCCTCCCTGATTTTATGTAAAACTATGCTAATTACAGCCTGGTGTCTAATTTTCTGTAGCGTATACTAGAATGTTTAATTTCATCAACACACATACATATTTATGTATACATATATTTTATCATATATTTTCCATAGGTGTGTTCAGGTACAGAGACAACATGTAATCTGATTTCCACTTTGTGCTCGTCCAGCCTTAAACTGCTTCGGGTCCCCCTGCGCTTTCACCTCTTCCAGAAAGCCTCACCCTCCCTCTCCCTCCGCTGAGTCCCTCCTTTCCTTCACAGGCAACCTTGCACATGTTTCTCACAGTTTATTTATGCACATGTCCATCTCCTCTATCATGAGTGATCCTTCAGGACAGACAAGGGGTCTTATCTACGCATGCGTCCTCAGTACCTTCAGATGCCACAAGAAGGTAAATGTTCACAGAATGGATGTCTATCCGTGTGAGATTGTTCATTCATCGTGGTTGATCGTACTCATTATTACTTTTGTTGTACCTTTTAACATAATGCTAGACAAATGTTAGGCCCCTGATATTTGCCAAATGACTAAGTTTCAAACATTCTGCACTGGGGGCTGTTACACCCCAGTCCTCTTCTGTGTATCAACATCTGTGTAAAGGGGGTGGGGGGGGGAATGTGAATGAAGCACAGTGTAAAATGTCGCCCTTTTTTCCTCCATGCCTTTATAATCCATGCTCCTAGCACACCTAGCATAGCACTTAACTGAACTATTCTAAGATTCAGCTGTAACTCCAAGGAAGATTCTTACCTTATAGTGCGCATGACCCTAAATTAAGTATGTCTCGGGATACATGTATATTCTGTGTCGGCACATTAATCTGAGAATGAGTGCATTGGTTTGAGAATGCATCGTTTTCTTCAGATTCTCAAAGGGTCTTGTGAACCAACAAAAATCAAAAAACCACTTGCTCTGAAACTGTGTAAGGAATATGGAAGAATGTTTCCTGATATTGTCAAGTGGCTAACTAGAAGCTAATAGAACAGCGGTTCTCAACCTGTGGGTCGTGACCCCCGTGGGGGTCGAACGATCCTTTCACAGGGATCACCTAAATACATCCTGCATACCAGATATTTACATGACAATTCATAACAGTAGCAACATTACAGTTATGAAGTAGCAACGAAAATAATTTTATGGTTGGGGGTCACCACAACATGAGGAACTGTATTAAAGGGTCGTGGCATTAGGAAGGCTGAGAACCACTGTAATAGAAGATCAAGCTTCCCAAAAGATGCATTTTCCCTCCACTTTCACGCGGTAGGATACTTGGAGTCCGAAAGGAAGAATTGGGAAATACAAGTAATTTTTTTGTTTATGATTATGGTGGCCATGACAACGTGCCTGGCCAACCTCCAACAACAGGGACATTAATAGATGATGGCCCCACTGCTACACTCCGTAATCCGTCACCACATTTACACTGAGGCCTTGCTCCCCACGGCTGCCCCCAGCCAGCGACTGAAGAAGGCAGGCATGCTCAGGGAGGCCCATTCTTAAAGATCATGGACTCCATCGGCGTCCGATTTCGGACTCCCTGATGACCGGGCCAACCTTTTCTTTGAGTGCTCAGTGGTCTGTGACACTCCCACCAGCCCTCCTTCCGTATCTCCTTCACTCGGGGTCAGGCTTATATTACAGTCTGATGGTTCTCCCAGCCTCCTCTGTATCTCGCCCCACTTTTTTTCTCAGAGGCATCTCTCCTCATAGAATTCTCCTACATTTAATCTCTTGGCATCTGCTTCTTGGAGGACCGGGACCAACAGAACAATGTTGCCTGACGTGTCATTGGACCAGCTGCCTCTGTGTTGCACGTGTTTCGCATAGGAAGCAGGGACTCTTATGCAGCATCCTTCTTTAATACGCCCAGGCATTAGAACAGCCTAACACAGCACAAGAAAAGGGAAGCAAGTGTTTCTCACTCTGGACAGCGAATGTGACACTAACCTTTGTCAGACACCTCCACGGTCAAGAGGTACTGGGCAGCATCTTGCTTCTTTAAGGACTGCTCGGCTAACTGGAACAGCCCCGTGAAGCTCTGGATGAGGAAGAGTCCATCTTTGGGAAACTTAGGGAACTGATCCACAATTTTGTAATGTAGAACACTGTTGACAGTGTTTTCTTCATCCATGTCGTGGGCAACCAGTGTCCCAATACCGCTCCCTGGGAAGAAGGAAAGAAGAAAATTCACCCATCACAGCCTCTATTCCATCTATTTTCAATGGTTCCGCTGGGTCAGCAGGTCCCCGGAACGCTCTGTACATAACTTTGAACCGCTGACTAAAGTTCTTAGATTTCTTTTGGTTCCTCTAACCCGCCCCATCGTGTAGTGTGTTGAGTCGTGTGTTAGTTTGATAGCGTCGCCAACGCTAAGTGCCACCGACTGGGCAGCTTTAACAACATAACGTTATTTTCTCACAGTTTCTGGATCTCACAGAGGTCTGAGATCAGGGTGTCAGAAAGGCTGGTTTCTTCCGAGTCCTCACTCCTTGACTTGTACGTAGCTGTCATCTCCATGTGTCCTCACATGGTCATGCCTCTGTACATGTCTGTGTCCAGATTTCTCTCTTCTTGGAAGAACAGCACATCAGTGATGGATTCAGAATGTTGTACTGAGTCTATTCTACACTCTTAGGGTAAAAGAGGTACAAAACAACGCCCCTGCCCTTTGGGGGGCTATGGTCTAACTCAATAATATACTAACTTATTCCTTAGTATATCTATATTCTCCTGTTTGATGTCTTATATTAGCAGAATCTTGTGGGACTCATGTCCCCAAGCATTAGCAATGCCAACAAGAATTCATATTGGATTAAGACCCACACTAATGACATTGTTTTCACTTTATGTCTTAAAAGACTCTTTCTCTAACTAATAGTCAGCTTTTGAGATAGTGGGCATTAGGGCTTTACCTTATAAATTGGGGTGGCGGCGGGGGAAGGAGGTAATCACAATTCAGCCCATAACAAATAGTGTCCCACAAAAATTCGGGTTCACTCCAAACCTCGTTGTGACCTTATTTGGAAACAGGGGCCTTTGCAGATGTAACTAGTTAAGGATCTTGTGATAAAATTACCCTGGATTTAGCGTGGGTCCCAAATCTAGTGATTAGTGTTCCCCTAAGAAGAGAAAACACAAAGTCACACACACGGAGGGGGAGGCCATGTGAAGCAGGAGGCAGAGACTAGGGTTGTGCTACCACAAGCAGCCAGGGCGTGCCAAGAGCCCCCAGAAGCCAGAACAGGCCGGGGAGGTTGCCCCCAGAGCAGGCGCCTTGATGTGAGACTTCCAGCTTCCAGACTGTGAAAGAATTCACTCCTGGCGTGCTAAGCTCCCACCTTTGTGGCACTTTGTCACAACTACCCTCGGACACTAATATGCCAGGCAAATGGTCTCACTGAAGGGCAAGCCAACAGTGGACTCCACCCCAGAGATAACACGGGGCAAAGAGCAGGCCCGCATGCTCCCTGCCTCGCTGCCGTTCCTGGCCCCGAGGATTTATTTCTGTGAGTGTGTCAGTCCAGGGCGTTCCCTAAGTCAGAGGTGATGACTCAGGACTTCACCCAGCTCTGGGGGAGGTATGATCGGTTCTGGATCATCTGGCTCCATGAAACGGGAATCGTGGGTTTCTCTACACACAGCCGCGACCCCAAGGTGTGCCTGAGACTTGATTATATGCCACTTGTGGTTTAGGTTTGTCCCCACTTCCCTTATCAGTTGGCATCTGCTGACATATGGAAACGTGAAGGAATTTTGTTGGGGGGAGGGGACTTCCTATGTCTGTCTGTAATGGAGCTGGACCCATGGAGCTGTGCCTCAGGGGCTGAGGAAGGAGCCATCGTGAGCAACAGAGCGGAGAAGAGGATGTATTTAGTACAGTAGCCGCTGCTATTTCTTTTTTTTTCTTCTTTTTTAAAATACATTTTTTTATTGATTTTTTACAGAGAGGAAGGGAGAGAGACAGAGAGCGAGAAACATCGATGAGAGAGAAACATCGATCAGCTGCCTCCTGCACATCTCCCACTGGGGATGTGCCCACAACCAAGGTACATGCCCCTGACCGGAATCGAACCCGGGGCCCCTGAGTCCGCAGGCCGACGCTCTATCCACTGAGCCAAACCGGTTTCGGCAGCTGCTATTTCTGAATCCATCACAACCAAGTCACCTTTGGGGCACCTGTCTGCCCTTGCTTTAAAAAAAAAAGAAAAATATCTGCGTGCTGGAACGAAGAGTGTCTTGCTGAATTCTGGGATCCTTTGATGTCTGAGCAGCCCTGCTCTGGACCATTCCCCCAAACAAGTGAGCACAACACCAAGGACACTGCTCTCTCACTCCACAGGAAATCCTGGCTGCCAGAGGCCCCGGGAGCTTTCGACATTAAGTGACCAGGGGAATTCCAGGAGGGGTGCCCCTCAGGGTGAGTATAGTATTTGCGGATGAGAGGAGAAAGGAGTGCCATGACTCTGAGACAAAGGCCAGGACCTAGTGGCATCTCAAACTGATTCTTGGGGCCCTCGGAAATACTTTAGAGAAGTGGTGCTTTAGGAAAGGCTAATTCCTATAGGAGCACATAGGACTTGGTAGCAAGTGGGATTCGGAAATTCCTGTTGGCGTTGCTAATACTTGAGCCTCATAACATTCTGGCCAATATAAGACACCAAATAGGAGAATATAGACGTACAAAGAAATAATTTAGTATTTTTTGAGCTAAACAGTAAGGCCCCCTTCCCCCCCCTCCCCGTACCGGGCAGGGGCATTGTTTTATATCTCTTTTAGCCTACATATATAGAATCAACTCAATCTGTGCTGATTTATAAGAATTCCTGGCCCATTCCTGACTCACAGAAACTGTAAAATAATAAATGTTTGTTGTTTTATGCTGCCATCTATTATGCAGCAATAGACAACTAAGAATCTAAAGGTTAGACCTTATGCAGAGACTTGAGGCATCATCTGGAAGGGTCCTCAAGGGTCTTTTGCCTTCACTCGGCATCACAGATCATCCCAGGTTTCCAAAAAGTCATTCTCGGCTACTGACACACCTTCCATTGCTACACAACTGTCACTGTTAGAGGGTTCTCCCTTATAATTAATTAAAATCCTTTACGTTTTCATTTAACAGTTCCTGTTGCAGCAAGGATCAGCATAAATGAAAAAGAGAGGACCTAAGCAATTCACACTGACAATACATAGCCTACCTATGATTTCTGACAGTGAAGAGGAAAATGTAAGCATCGAGCAAGCAAGCCATGCAAGCAGCACCTACCGAGCCACTAGGACTGCAGCCACTATGTCAAAAGTGTGTGGCAAGAAGAGAGAGATAAAAAGAAAATGATGAGAAGGTCCACAGACATGTGGGGATCTGCCCAGAGGGGCAGCAGAGCCCCAAGCATCACAGTCATAAGATACCGCTAACCCTCTGAAACTTACAGGCAACAACAGACAAAAACATTTCAAGAAAAGCCAGCCTGCTCAGCCAATGGACTCAACACCAAAGGTAATAATAGACAAGGGTTTACCTAAATCCAGGGAAGTAATAAAACGTCCAGAGAGCATAATGTTCTCCTAGTAGTTGTCCCTGTGCAAAACTAAAGCTACCATGAGACACAGTAAAAGAAAACAAAGCAAGTCAAGAACAAAAAGACCAAAATGGGTAGGACTTGAACTTCATCTACCAGCCAGCCTCCTGAACTAGTATTATCAGCTTCCTAGAGAGGGAGCAATAAGGGTCAAAAGTCAATTTCCATTTGTTGTGCTCATTTGTTATAGAGTATCTGACCTTGGGTGTAGATGCTGATTAAAATTATTTATCAAATTTGGTGGTTTTATCTGTTACTGAGTTTGTTAGAGGGCAAATAAGGATCTATGTAAAAAATATTGCAAATGAGATAATCTTATATATGTACACAGGATAGTGGTGTAAGCGGTTATGGTGTTAGTGCTAGTGGTAAGGAGGGTGTAGTAGTATTAATAGTGGTAACAGTACTAGTAGGGGTAGTAATAGTGGTAGTGGTGGTGTTAGTAGCCATAAATGCTCCAATTTAAGAACACGACCCAGATAGTAACTGAGCCAGGAAACTATACTTGTGTGAGTCTCAAGGTGTATTCAACCTCTACACTGTGCTAGTGGATAACTGATCATCAATCAGGTTTACCTGTTCACCTTCTCCAAGCCAGAGAGGAGAAAGGGAGTATAG